AAACCCTAAACCCTAAACTCCAATACACCCCATGTTCAAAGAAAGCCTACGAAGCTCTACGAAGCCCGGCCTCCCTCTGAATGGCCTGCAAGAAGAGCCCAGGAACCTTGTAGTAATGCTTCTTATATAGGTAGTATTATTAGGGGTACCCCTTAAAGGGTACCCCTTCTGAACCCTACTTGTGGCTCTCTTAAGAGGGACCTTATTGAGAGGGTCTATATCCCATCCTAGCTCCCATTATAGTAGCAGGTATAGTAACCCTTATGAGGGTCTAGGGGTTTAGGGTTTAGGGGATTTAGAGTTCAGGGTATGATAGAGACAGGTATAGTAACCCTTATGACAACCCTTGGGTTTAGGGTTTAGGGCTTAGGGGGTTTAGGGTTTAGGGTATTGTAGAGCCCCTAAACCCTACCTAAACCCTAACTATAGAGCTCTAAAGGAACCCTAAACCCTAAACCCTAAACCCCAAACCCCAAACCCTAAACCCTAAACCCCTCAAGAAGAGCCCAGGAAAATGCTTATGGACGCTGCCTGCAACGGCTGGGCTAAAGCCGAGGCAGGGGTCTCTCCACAAACTCTCGGACGAGGTCCTAATTAAGGGTTTGGGGTTTAGGGTTTAGGGTTTAGGGTTTAGGGTTCAGGGTTTAGGGTTTAGGGTTTATGGCTTAGGATCCTAATTCCCTTGAGGGTCCTTGCGAGGAATCCTTTGAGGGTTCCTTTTTAAGGGTTCCTTTTTAAGGGTTGCGTTTAAGGGTTCCATTTAAGGGTTCCTTTCCAGGTTTTCATAAGATTTACTTGGGGGTACTTTACCCATACAGCGTACATACTTTGGCCAGTACTTTAGAGCCAAAACATATGTTAGTTCTCTAAATTAGGGTCCTTTTTTTAGGTCTCCAATATAGTACGGCACCCTCATGGGACCCGATTATAGAGAACTACTCAGAAACAATTTGGGCTTCACAGGGTTTCGGTTTGAGGGTTACGCTAGTATATAATATATGGGCTTCTTAACATGGCTTCTACGAAGTCTGCTGTACGCGTTTCTCCACGGGCAGCCCTTAAAGCCTTATTAAACCCTCACCACTAAGCCCTAAACCCTCTAAGCCCTATAAACCCTAAACCCTAAACCCTAACCCCTTTATAAACAAAAAGAAGGCGAAGTGACGATCCCAGGGTTCCCAGAAGAAAATTGCAGCACCTTGTCCCAGGGGTCTGTGTACCCAATGCTATATATATATATATATATATAATTATATATATGTAGTATATATTGGCCGCAAAGTATCCGTATAGGGACTGCTTTAATTTAAGGCTAAAGTATACACTATATAACTATTTGGGTACGCCTCTTTAGGGTTATCATGGCCCGAAGGGTCAGCTCTAAGTATTAAGGGGCCTTCCTTCAATGTGGAGAAAAGAAGGGCACCAGTATTCGGTGCTTAGGGCTCAAGGGTTTTTCCGGGTTTGGGGGTTTCAGGCCTAAACCCTAAACCCTAAACCCTAAACCCTAAACCCTAAACCCTAAACCTTAAACCATTCCCATGTGTTAAAGATCCTCAGAACCCAATCCGAAGCAGTTTAGAGCTTAGGGTTTAGGGTTTAGGGTTTAGGGTTTAGGGTTTAGGTTCTCATCACCCAAAAGCGCCATAGTACCAGCGTAAGCGTAGATGCACTCATGGCCCGAATATGGTGGGTATGTATTTTCTTAGTGTAGTAATAGATAAGTTATATGCTGAGTTGTAGACGTACCGATTATGACTATACCCCTAAACCCTTAAACCCGCAGTTTAATACCGTCGCAATATTTGAAACTACAAACAGAATCCTAAACTCTAAACTCTAAACCGGTTAACCCCTAAACCCTAAACCCTAAACCCCTAACCCAACCCTAAGGGTGCAAGTACCTATAATCGTGTACTCTTCTGAATACTAGCCTACAAAACTACAATCCGTAACCCAAGTACATGATTAACCCTAACCCCGAAACCCAAACCCTCAAACCCTAGACCCAAACCCTTGAACCCTAAACCCTTAAACCTTGAACCCTAAACCCTAAACCCTTAAACCCTAAACCCTAAACCATAAACTCTTAAACCCTAAACCCTAAACCCTAAACTCTTAAACCCAAAGCCCTAAACCCTAAACCCTAAACCCTAAACCCCTAAACCCCTAAACCCTAAACCCTACCCCTTAAACCCTAAACCCTAGCCCTGTTCCCTAAACCCCTAACCCCTAAACCCTAAACCCTAAACCCTAAACCCCTAAACCCCTAAACCCTAAACCCTAAACCCTCAACCCTAAAAACCCCTAAGCCAGCCCTGAGGTTGAAGCACTTCTGCAGCTCCCCATGGATCCGGACGCCCGGACTGGAGCCGATGATCGTTCGCCCCTGATGTGGGCATCCCTCTTCGGCTACGTTGATGCTTTTCTGGGTACTTGGAAATGTTTTGTTTGTTCGGTTTACTAGGTTGGTTTTTGGGGCATTTTTAATTTTCCTTATTTGGGTTTATACGGGACCCTTTATATGAATATTTTCCAGAGGGTTTAAAGGCCAACCCAGTTTAGGATTGAGGGTTTAGGATGCTTTTTTGGTACTTGGCGATTTGTTTTTGCTTGTTGGGTTTAGGGTTTAGGGTTTAGGGTGTAGGGTTCCCTACGAATCAGCAAGAATGGTGGGTTTTGGCAGGGGTACCAAGTTCAGCATAGGATGTGGCACTGCTGCTTCTGGAAGCCGGGGCTCAAGCGGATTGGTGCGACCACGATGGCGATACTGCGCTGATGTATGCGGCAACCAATGGTCATGCCCAAGTCGTGAAGCTATTGCTCGAAGCTGGCGCTCAGAAAGATTTGCGCAGCAAGGACGGTTGGACAGCTTTGATGCACGCAGCATGGAACGGTGATCCACAAGTCGCGCAATTGCTCTTGGAGGCCGGTGCAAACAAAGACTTGAGCGACAGTCGCGGCCATACGCCGCTGATGCTGGCGACTGAGGCGGGCCACAATGAAGTTCGGCAGTTGCTGCTCTCAGAGGGCGGTCCTTCGCCCTGACACCTGCAAGCAGCGGCCATAATGCATTGAAGACAAAAAACGCAGGCTGCAGGGATATAATGTAGGGGCCTAAATAATTACCAATACTATTGTGGGGGCTCCCTAACATAACTATAGTATACTGGGCCCCAACACCCTATTCTAATTATTAAGGCTCCTATATTACCGACATTCCGATGTTCCATGTATGACTCTTGAAACACACCGCGCATCGCGAAGTAGGGGCCCGAAGCAAGGAGCCTCACGAAGGCGTCCTTCAGACTCTAAAGACGGGATGACTCTCATCTTCAGAAGCTCACCTTTTTGGCCGCGCCTGCGTTTGCAGCGATGTGCTCACCTCCGCACAGCAAGGGGAGCTGAAGAGCTAGGGGGACCATGTTTAATTCTTGTTGTCTTCTATCGCGCAATCATCCGGATTCCTGGGAAGCCTGCTCTGAACCCCTAGCCCAGGATACTGTTGACGATATAGATCCTGCATTACTCAGAAATAAAGAAACCCTAAACATGATAAGGAAACCCTCAAACCCTCAAGGCAATGCAGGATTTGTATCCCTAAACGGGGCAGACTAAAGACACCCGCCTAAGTCTAGAAGCTATATTACTGTCTTTATGGTGGGCCTTGTAATGGCCCTCATAGTATATATAGGGGCCTTAAGAATGAGAACAGGCTTTGGGGTAGTTTATACTAGAATGCTAATAAGGAACCCTCAAAACCCTATTCTGATGATTAAGATCCCTAAACCCTAAACCCTTTAAGGAACCTTCTTCTGATCAAAAAAGGGCTCCTACATTATGTCTCCGGGACATGTAGTCTCGAACACCAAACCCGAGACCCTGCAAAACCCGAAAACCGACAACCCACGACGTCCGCCAGATGAGCAGCTCATGATGTTGCTTGGCTGGATTTAGGGTGTAGGAATTAGGGTTTCATATAGAAGCCTAAATAATTACCAATATTACTGTTAGGGTTCCTTATTGTAGTAATACTATACTCTATAATCATTAAGGCCCCCATACTAGGGTTAGGGTCTGCGCATTTTTATCGTTCTAGGTGTCCGTTGGAGAGTCATGTTAAGGCTGTCAAGGCCTCCTGTTTAAGGCTTCCTGTTGGAGGGGCGCTTCAGAGGGCTTCTTTTAAGGCTTCCTTCTTGGGTTTAGGGGTTTAGGGTTTAGGGTTCAGGGTTCAGGGTCAGAGGGTTTCTTTTAAGGCTTCCTTCTTGGGCTTCCCTTGGAGGGTTGTTGCAAGCGTCACTGCTCGAAGGTGAGGGCTCATAAACATGACCCTGAAAGCGACCCGAATTTAGAGAATTACCCATATGAGTCTGCTTAGGAATTTGGGTGAGTGCTCTCTGTGGGTGTTTTGTCGGAGAGACGAGTCTGTAACCAAAGCGACAGCATACCTTTCTGTGAACCCTAAACCCTAAATCCTAAACCCTAAAACCTAAACCCTAAACCCTAAACCCTAACGCACACCTTTCTGTGACACCACTGCAGGATGCACTTAGGGCTGCTTCTTCATACTAGAGCCTCGTCCGAGGTACTGTAGGAGCCTACATAATTACCTATGTTATTTTGGGGGGTTCCTTATTTCTAGGACATTTTCAGGTGGGTAGCTACCGTTACAGGAGCCTTATAGAAGGTTTATATACCATATAGAAAACTTGTAGAAGCCCTATATACCCTAAACTCCCCACCTGTAGTTTCCTTTAATTATGGAGATAGTATCATATACCCCAAAACCCTGTTCTAATGAATTAAGGCTCCGACATGAATAGATGTGCTCACAACTATATTTGGGGTGCGTGACATGCTGCAAGCAGACCTACCTTCAACTATCCCCAAACCTACTTGTTCCTAGGTTTTTGCTATCAACTCCCCAGAGACTCCAAAAACCCGTAATTAGGGAATAGACCTTAAATCATAAATAGGAGCCCTCATGGGATTTATGGTGCATTCCTCAATTAAGGGATCTTGGAGTCTCTGGGTCTAACATATAGATTTATATAAGGATCCTACAAAGAGTACTAGGTTTTGGTAGGTCGACCAAGACCAGAAGGCGCTGGCCATCGCCAAAGCCAGCGAAGCACTCATCCACAGCAACTGCCAGATTCTAAACTGACACTTCGGGTCGGGGCTTTGGGATTTTATCCTCTAGAACCCTTGTAGGACTTTTAGGGGTTTGGGGTTTAGGGTTTAGGGCTTTGGGATTCTATGCTCTAGAACCCTTGTCGGACTTTTAGGGGTTTGGGGTTTAGGGTTTAGAGCTTTGGGATTCTATCCTCTAGAACCCTTGTAGGACGTTTAGGGGTTTGGGGTTTAGGGTTTAGAGCTTTGGGATTCTATCCTCTAGAACCCTTGTAGGACGTTTAGGGTTTAGGGGTTCGGGGTTTAGGGTCTATGGTTACCCTAAACCCTAAACCCTAAACCCCTAAACCCTAAACCCTAAACCCCTAAACCCTAAACCCTGTTTAGGGCCTTGGGTTCGAACCCTTGCAGGATTTTCTGGAAGCCCCACGAGTCCCCCAGGGCCCTACTTGGAGGATCCTGGGACTTAGTAAGTAAGGTATTTTCTTGGTTGAAGTTTACAGTCACTTTATAGCTTTATCCCTTTTGGGATTAGCTTTTTTGATATTAGGGGTACCAAAAGTTAAAATTTTGGCAAGGTAATAAAGAGCAA